TAGATGCCTTTGAGAATGGAAAGATGAAAAAAACAATCAGATGTGAGGTGGTTGGGAATTTTGCCTTTCTCTGGCTAATGAGAAAAATGTTCCCTTTAATGATAAAGCTATTTCTGTGATAGTTGATGTGTTCATTAAGTTAAAAAATTAATCATCCTAATGAATACTACTTGGGAAGTAGATGTTAATCAGGGCTGCTACATAACAGGGCATTCGACTTGCTGAAGAGGTTTCCTGAGAATGATAGTGTCAGTATTTGACTAATGGACCAGTATATACTGTTCAAGGAGCTGACTCATCTCAGAGCTCTGAAGCCTAGGCCCCTAAAGTAGAGCGACCATTAAATATTTTGCTTGAGCACATGCTCCAGTCTCTTTTTGTTTAGCCTATCTCTCCCTGCCCTAGTTTTTGAATCACATATGAACAAGAGCAGCCTAATGTAAGACATTTTTCCTGAAGAGGTGTGTACAGATATATGCTGATAAGAAAAGCACACTGTATCCCCTCAAATGGACTGGCTCTTTCACTTTTGTGTTGTATCAACCTGAATTACCTATATGCCATTCAGAAATATTTTATGAAGGTTTCCTATGTACCATTGAGGCCTTGTAGGCCAAGTTAAGAATGTTGGACCTAGCCCAGTGTGGTGGCACATGTTTGTAATCCCAGCAGCTTTGGAGGCTGAGGCAGGAGGATTGTGAGTTCAAAGCTAACCTCAGCAACTTTGTGAGGCCCTAAGCAATTGAGTGAGGCCCTAAGCAACTTAGTGAGGCACCAAGCAACTTAGTGAGACTCTGTCTCTAAATAAAATACAAAACAGGGATGGGGATGTGGCTCAGTGGTTGAGTGCCCCTGAGTTCAATCCCTGTACCCCTCCTCAAAAAAAAAAAAATGTTGGACTTTAAGAATAAATGGAAATTACTGAAGAGTTGTTATCTAGGGAATGACATGATATGATGGGTATCTGAGAAAACCCAGTCTAACCATGGTATCAGGAATAGATTGGAGAGACATATCGGAATGAAAGAAAGTAGCAAGACAATTAGAAAGCTGTTAGAGAGGTCCAAGTGAGAAAAGACAATGGCTTGAAGCAGGGTGGTAGTGGTACAGGTGGAGAAAAATGAACTACTTTGACTTTTTTGTGGTGCCTGGGAGGGAACCTAGAACTTCATGCATGCCTGGAAAGTGCTTTACCACTGAACCACATCCCCAACTCTACTTTCAGAAATATTTCGAAAGTCAAATGAACAAAAGTTAATGATGAGTAGGTTATATGGTGTGAGGTCAAGAGGTAGCAAGGATGATTCATTCATTCCACAGAAAGTATTGAGTGTCTATTGTGACTAAGATTTTGTGCTAGGTGGTAAACATTCAAATAGACAGTATTTACCTTCAAGGAGTTTGAAATCTTATGGGGGGAGAGAGGTATGTACCTAACCAATCACTAGGCACTGTGTATATGTGGTCTCATGAAGCTGGGGTGTCACAGGGTACAGCACCAGGCCACGGGAGCATCTATTCAGAATGTCAGCTCTGAGGGGATGATCCTTGAGCTGAGGTGGGAATTTTTATTTGTTTTTTCATATGAATAGGACTTCCTTGAATCTAGAAAGTAGGGAAAAGGCATTGGATTGCAGACAAAGAAGTCAATATGTGCAGAGCATGGTTGAGGGGACTTCATTTCCACATGGCTAAGATGAAGAATGTCCAAAGGTAAGGGAGGGAGTGAGTAGCTGGAAATGAGGCCAGAGTGGGTAAGCAGGGACCAGGTTATAAAAAGGGCCTTTCTTTAAGTCTATTTCCTCAACCCTAAAATGAATAGAAGAGATGAAAGAACATGTTCTATAGGAGTTGCAGTCTTTGAAATTATGCATCTGGGGCCATTGGAATAGAACAAAATTAAATATTCATTGGAAAATACAACCCACTTTTACCCTGAAGCTCTAAATAATCCTGTTCCTCAAATACCTTTTAACTGTATAAAGATCAGAAAATGTTATTAAAGATCAGAAAATGTTATTTTGCTTTTGGAATAAGTGGCTTTTAAAATTTGAGCAGCACCTTTAAAGTGAAAGAATGTATCTGTCAACTCTTTTTAAAATCAGTTTTTTCCCCCAGTGATGGACAGATGAAATAAATATCTTAAAGCCAATATTTCAGAAATA